CCGGGCATGGTGGCGCACGCCTGTAATCCCAGCACTTGGGAGGCTGAGGCAGGAGGATCGTTGCGAGTTTGAGACCAGCCTGGGCTACAAAGTGAGCTCAGGACCAGTTTGAACTGCATAGTGAGACCCTGTCTCACACACAAAAAAAGAAAACCAGACTTTGAGTCCTCCTTGTACAGTACTCATCATTTACTAAATAATACTCGTCAAAGTAAGACAGTGCCTGAGGAATCTTACGTAGGACCAGGTAAGATTATTTATTAAATATTTGTTGCTCAGGGTTATGAGTTGTGCTGGATAACTAGCTATTCAGAGGAGAGCTTGTGTCCTCAAGTTGCTTACAATAAAGGAGACAGAGATGTTAGTGAATAATTATAACCTGATTAGTGAAGCAATAAAATATTTTCAAGGTTCAGTGGAATATGATGATGGGAATGACTGACATTTTGGATACCGAACAATGTTTTTTGAGAGATTGATAGGGTTGGGTTAAATGAGTAAGTAGGGTTTCACTGGCATGAAGTCTTTTAGAAATCTTGGCTAACAGGGTTGGTCTTACCTAAGCAGCTGCAGTGAGACTGGATAACAAGATGTTAAAGGAGTAATACCTAGAAGACACCCTGGAACGTGTGATGGAACCAGGTGTTGTTATGTGTGAGTGTTGTATAAACTGGAAAGCTATCTAAAATTTTAGTTATTTCCTTGGGATTAATTTAGTTATGCAGGAGTATATATTGTAAAATACGTGTGATAATCAATTTATAGATACAGTACTTATGTTTTAATATGGTAGTACGTTTATCTTAAAATTAGTTTTACAGTTTTTTAAAATCAGATTTGTAAGTGCGTACAGTTGAAAAGATCATCTAATTTGGTAGTTTCTTTTTAAAAAGCGCTGTTCTGAATTCCACTGTTCCTCTCTCAGGCAACTCCTTTCATATTTTAATAGACATGTTTTTAATTGCTATGTTTTGATTTTTAATTCTAGGAATTATTTGAACTGTTAGAGACCAAGTCATATAGTATAATGTGATTATTTTTCCTTTTCTGCACAATTTATTTTTCCTGGAGTTAAGTCATTGTCTTTTTAAATTTTATATTTTGGCTTAGTATATGTACTTATTCTTAAACTCTGTTAATTGCACAAATGAAATACATTAGTTAGCAAGGCAATTTTGTTTCTATGATGTTTCTATTGAGTGTTTTTCCAACCTATATTTGGTGTTTTCACGTATAGCATGCTATATTTTTAAAATTATTAGTACCTGTTTAACTATTTTGCTTTATTCTTAAAAGCCTTCAAAACTTTAAGTTGAAATAACCAGTTTTTAAAAAATAAACTTATAAAAATTTACTTATTTGTTGTAATATAGCATGATGTGTGAAATATGTATAAAAAGTTGGCGGCTGGGTGGCTGAGGCAGGAAGATTGTGAGTTGGAGCTCAGCTTGGGCAGTCTAGAATTTAGCCAGATTCTAGGTTCAATCCTTGGTACCACACCAAAAAAAGAAAAAAGTAGTCAGTCAGTTTTAATTATTTTCCAATTTAATATTCATAGAACTTTACTAAATAATAGTATTTAACAACAAATTGTGGAGAGTCTGTTCCTGATGTTATCCTGTTCTGTCTATTTTAGAGAGACAAAATGTTGAGCTTTCTCCGAAGAACTCTGGGGCGCCGCTCCATGCGTAAACATGCTGAGAAAGAACGACTCCGAGAGGCACAACGAGCTGCCACACACATTCCTGCAGCTGGAGATTCTAAGTCCATAATCACATGTCGGGTGTCCCTTCTGGATGGTACTGATGTTAGTGTGGACTTGCCGGTATGTAGGTCTTGCCGAGCTGCAAATTCTGTATGAGATTACTGTCTTTATTTGAGTTGTCTATTGATGATAATTTGCTGGGGGAATTAGTATGAATTGGACACTGTAATATTCAGGTACATAGATTGGGTAACTTTAGACCAAAAGTACCTAGAATAATAGCTTATCTCTCTGGAACTATTGCATTTACTTGAAACAAATGCGAAGGCAGATATTGGTATGAATTAAACCCATATGTGTTTATGTGTGTTCTTAAAGGTGGGAGTACGTAGTATAATCTAGTGGGTCCCTCACAATCCTAGTTTAGCAGTTACTAAAGCAATGAGAATCTTTCAGAACCATAATGATTTGTGTATACTGTAATACTTTCTCTTCCTTTTATTTTTCTGTATTTTTCAGAACTCCTCTTACTTTCCCTAAATCAAGATACTTCCTCTATAGTTTGGTGTGCTTGAAAAAAATTTAAATGAAGTGAGAGAAAAGATTTTTTTCATACCACTCAGATTTGATTGTTTGTCCCTTTGCTGCTAAAGTAGTGCATTGTAGATTTTTTCATAACACTATAGTCTTTATTTCAGAACAGGATATTTTAATTATTTGTGCATCTTGAGTAGGTTTTTCTTTTTTTGGTTACAAATGCATAATCATAAAATCACAGTGTGAAGTAATTCAATATGTTTGAAAGGGGGTTACTTTATTTCTTAGAGACCTTTTTAGAAGGTAGGAGAAGAAAGCATTCGAATTTCTGAGCTGTTTACCGGTACCAAATCTCTAATGTCTATGTTCTGTACTGAGACTTAGTATAAATTGTAAGATTTGACAAGAGCTTCATTGGACATTCCTTGATACCCTCTCCCTGACAAACTCTTACTAGTACCGATTCATTTACCTAAAATTCAACTTAAGAATCTCTTTGGGTAAGATGAGAGCCTAGATCAGTGATGGCAAACATTTTAGATCTTTTAATGATATCAGGTAGCTGACTGTAGCATGTTTGCTATAGGTTTACTAATAACACTGGTCTAGATGTTGCTGAAATACATAGTTGAATAAGCTCTGGAGGGCCTTAGACCCAAAATGAGAATTTAAGAAATTGGTTGGTTTGTTTAAAAGAATATTCTGAATGTACTAGTTATGTACATTATACATTTTAAAATATTGGAATATAAAATTAATCAAAGATTCATGATTTCTTAAAGTGTTTTGAACTTGTATGTGTTTGTTATCTTTGTACATTGGACTGCACAGTTTTGGGGCTTTTGATCTGTAAAACATTAAGACATCTGAGTTTTTTTCCTGGGTTTATAAGACATTCCAACATGAGATACTTTGTGAAGATAGTTTTCCTGTTTATTATTTGATAAGAATTTTAAGAGTTTTGTGTACTATCATATTGAAATGTCATTAGCTATGTAATGAAAAACCTGACAGTGCTATGTGAGAGCTTGGAAAATAGTTTTTTATTAATGTTTTTTATTTGTTTGTTTGTACTAGGAATTGAATTCAGGACCTTGCACTTGCAAGGCAGGCGCTTGTGCCCCTGAACTATATCCCTGGCTTTACTAACGTTTAAAGTATGGAGTCTTAGGGTGACTTAGAATGGACTCTTGGAGTTTAAAGAATGAATAGACTCAAACTAGGAGAATTTGCAAAGAAACTTTTTGAAAAGGCGGGGTTGTGTAGAAGAGAAATATCAGTAGGCTTTAAGTTGGTGGGACAAATGCATAGTTACTGATTTAAAATGGTTTCCTAAACTTGGTTTGGTTAGCAGAGTGTGTGTGATGCTTGATCAAATCCAGAAATGCTGGCTGGCCTATTAAGGAGACGGTTAAGCTATTACTAATAGGAAACTATAGGCCAGAGGATTTTTTTCTTAAACAACAACAAAATGTTTTTTCTTTTTCTGATTTAATTTTCATTCATTCCCAGTATGATACTCTGGAATGTTTAGCGATTTTGGAAATTGAATGAAGCACCCATACTCATTGCCCGTGAGAATTAGGTTCACTAGTGATTATAGCTAGCCAGCCTTGGAACTAAGATGCTTGGTTGGGTATTATGTAAGGGATTATCTATGATTAGAGTAATTTAAACGATCTGTAGACTTCAAATAAATAAATTAGTATATACCAGTAGTAATAGTCTTTTTTTGTGTGTGTGGTGGTACTGGGGATTGAATCTAGAGCTTCTCAAATTTAAATTTTTATTTTGATATAGGAGTCTCACTAAGTTGTCAGGGTTAGGCTTAACTTGAGATCGTCCTGTCTCGTCTCCTAAATAGCTAGGATTATAGGAATATGCTACCACACCTAATATTGGTCATTCCATATTACTGTTCTTTCCTCTCAAATTGGGGAAAGGATTTAAATACCTGCTACTCTCCCTTCTCCTCTCCTCTACTTGCCCCTTGCTGTCTTTTCTTTTCCCTTCCTTTCCCTTCTCTCACTAATACAGTGAAAATGCCTTTTAGTAAATGACAGAGGTATCAGGGAGAAATTTCTCTTTGATTTTTAAACTTTGTCTTTGAAAATGCTATTGTAAACTCTTTGGATTGATTTGAGAGCTAAGTATTCCTTATTAAATAGCCTGTTGTGTAAAATTCTACACCTTCTAAGTTTTAGATTAATAGAAAACACTTGATTAACCAAAAGATTTTATATATATATATATATATGTACACACACACACTTTACTACTAGAGACTTCAAATTTATAGCCCATGTGTAGTTAAACTTGCAAATACAAGTAGTCTATCCCACAAACCATTCTCACTTCTCTGAAATTTTAGTTACGGATGGTCATCATGATCCAGAAACGTTAAATGGAATATTTCAGAAGCAATTTGCAACTCTTAGTAGAATCATATAATTGTATTGTTCTCTCTTACCTGGTTTTCAAATGAAATGAATTTAAAGACTTAAAATTGTTAGGGTAGCAGTATACTCTAAATTGATGGCAGGTTCAATGCAGTCCTTACCAGAATCCCAACTAACCTGTTTGTAGAAATTGACATGCTGATTCTAAAATTCTCATGGAATTGCAAGGGACCCAGAATAGTCAAAACAAAATTGAAAAAGAAGGTAGGGTAGTTTTTATTTCCCAATTTTAGGACTTACAACAAAGCAACAATAATCAAGATGGTGCATAGCTGGCACAAAGATAGACACAAATCAGTGAAACAGTAGAAAATTCGTAACTTATATATGTGTGGTCAGTTAATTTTTAAAAAGGTACCAAGACCATTCAATGGGGGAAAGAATAAATTTTTTCAACTAAGGCTACTGAATATCCATATGTAAAAGAATGAAGTTGGGCGTTTACCTCATAGTATGTGTGAAAAATTAAAATATATCAGTGACATAAACATACTGCTAAAGCTATGATATCCTTAGACAAAAACATAGGGATAAATCTGCATTTACCATAGATTCATCAGTGGTTTCTTAGCTCTGCTACCAAAAGCATAACAAAAGAAAAGAGAATAATTGGACTTCATAAAAGTAAAACCTTTTGCCATTTAAGGGTGGTAGAGCAAGAGGAAAGGAAGAGTAAAGCAAGAGGAAAAGGAGAGGAGAAGGGAGAGTAGCAGGTATTTAAATCCTTTCCCCAATTAGAAAGGAAAGGAGAACAGGAATACGAAATGACCAATATTAGGTGTGGTAGCATATTCCTGTAATCCTAGCTATTTAGGAGACTGAAGCAGGACGATCTCAAGTTGAGGCCAGCCTTGACAACTTAGTGAGACTCCTGTATCAAAATAAAAATTAAATTTGAGAAGCTCTAGATTCGATCCCCAGTACCACCACACACACAAAAAAGACCATTACTACTGGTATATACTAATTTATTTATTTGAAGTACCAAAGGAACAGGCAAGGGACTATGTAGGGTACCTAAGGCCACACCTCCACGACCCACCCAGACACATCAAGGAGAGTGCTGTACTAATCTGGTAGGAGTGTCTCAATCCGTAAAAGTTGATGCATCAGGTTTAACAGTCACAGATGGCCATAAACAGATGAAGAATCAAAATGTGTTATATTCTTTTAATGAGGTTTTATTTACTCATAAAAGATATGAAGTGTCGACACATGTTATGAATGAATTTTGAAAACATTTGCTAGTGAAAGGAAGCCAAAAAAACCACATTTTTCCTTTTGGCTTTTTAAAAATTTTTTTACTTTTACTAGTACGTGTTTGCAGTCCATAATAGTTACATTCATCACAATAAATTGATACATTTACTTAATACGTCTTCTTTTTCCCTTTTTCCCCTTCTTCCCATGTTGATTCCATTCTTGTGAAAGTCGAAAACAAGTAAACCTGCCAGAAAAAAGAGATTAGTGGTTACTTGGGGCAAGTGCATAATGCCTGACAGAAATAATACAGGGTAATTGCTGTAACATATTAACTTTGGTGATGGTTGTACATATCTGAATATACTGTAATCCATTAAATTGTATATTTTCATGGGTGGATGTTTTGTGAATTATATTTCAGTAAAGCTCTTTATCAAAAAGAGAATGCTGCAATTTTTGTGTTTGTGTTTCATTCCACTACAAGTTTTTTAAGGCAAGAAACGTAAAAAAAATGACATATAGGTTTAATTTAGAGGGAGCATATTTGATTTATTTGGGGGGGAAAGCAACCCTGCAGAATGCTACTGTAATGTGGCACAAAATGGTAAGGCTGCAGACTAGTATTGACAGTGAGATTGCAAAGAAAGGAATGCTTAGTACGTAGATGTGGGGACAAGAATAAAGGTTAGAAATGAGTAAAATATAGTTTAATCCTGGTGGGATCATGCCAATTTTATGGAAGATTATAAGAGAATATTTAGCTGTCGTGATGAGAGGGATTAAAAAATGCAAAAAAGACCTTTGGTAGGGGTAGTGCCTTTGTTTTTTGTTTGTTTGTTTGTTTTTTTCCGGTACCAGGAATTGAACTCACGACCTTGTGCTTGCCAGGCAGGCGCTGTGCCGCTGAACTAAATCCCCAGC